GATGATGATGATGATGATGATGATGATGATGATGATGATGATGATGATGTTGATGATGATGATGATGACGATGATGATGATGATGATGATGATGATGATGATGCTGATGCTGATGCTGATGATGATGATGATGATGATGATGAGGAGGAGGAGGAGGAGGAGGAGGAGGAGGAGGAGGTGGAGGAGGAGGAGGAGAAAAGTCGCAATGAGGAAAATGGGGGGAGGGGAATTGTGAGAGGGTGTCCGAGTGCTCATGAGGAGTCTATGGTGCCCCCCCAGGCTAGCTACAAGATCATCTGGGCTACCAAGACCGTTCCGTCGATGAGCCATAGCTGCAAGCCGATGAGGTCAGTGCCGACAGCTATTGCTCATGAGCACCAGTTTCGTGACGTCGGCAACGATGTCTACGTGATAGGCCCGACGCTGTCTGTCTTTCTTAGTGCCATGTGTCTAGATGACGAGGGCATTGCGAAGACGGTGACGACGACGGTGGTTACGATGCCCGCGTCTTGTTTTTGCACCTCTGGGAGGCTCTTGGCATCATCCCTTCCTTGCGCCGGAGCGCCCTGTCAGGCCTGTTTCAGATTGTTTCAGCCCTCGCCTGGGCTGCCCCGCCTTCACGAGCCCCAGGATCCATTTCGATCTGGCCGATCCGAGTTGATATCGGTTTTCGACAGGTTCGAGCCGATTCGATTTTGGTTTTCCGACGATCCAATCCTGCGCCCATTTGCCAACCCTACCCCTACAGGTCCAACCGACGCTGGTGCTTCCGATACCCCCGCTGGGATTCACGTGGCAGCAGACAGCCTTCATCGGACCCCTAGTCGGTTCTTTTCAGACATGTGATTTTTGCAGTGATCTTTTCTGATGTTGTGCCTTGCTGGCAGCTTGAGAAAGGGGCGCGCCTGGCCAACAACTATTTGCAGGGGTAGGGTTAGGTCGGGCACGTCCATCTACAGGGGGAATATTCAAAAATAATAGTCTGGGGACTTTTTTTTTGGTGTCGAAAAACCGCGGAAGATCAATGACAATAATGCTTGCCGAAGATTGAGGATCGAGAAGGAGGAGGGAGAGGAGGCGGATAATCGAAGAGAAGGATCGAGGATCGGGGAGGATAGAGAAGGAGGAGAAGGAGGATGATGAGGAGGAGGCGGAGGAGGAGGAGGAGGAGGCGGAGGACGAGGAAGCCGAGGAGGAAGAGGAGGCGGAGACGGAGGTGGAGGTGGTGGAGGAAGAGGTGGAGGAGGAGGAGGAGAAAGACGATGATGATGAAGACGCTGATGATGATGATGATGATGCCGATGCTGATGCTGATGCTGATGCTGATGCTGATGCTGATGCTGTTGTTGTTGATGATGATGATGATGATGATGATGATGAGTCTGATGCTGATGATGATGATGATGGTGATGGGGATGTTGATGATGGTGATGGTGATGGGTGATGATGACGATGCTGATGATGATAATGTGGCTGCTGTTGATGATGATGATGATGTTGATGCTGTTGCTGATGACGGTGATGATGATGATTACGGTGATGACCATGCTGATGCTGCTGCTGCTGATGATGATGCTGATGCTGATGATGATGGTGCTGATCATGATGCTGATTATGATGCTGATTAGTATGATGATGGTGCTCATGATGTTGATGGTGATGCTGATGCTGATGATGATGATGATGATGATGATGATGATGATGATGTTGATGATGATGCTGATGCTGATGCTGATGCTGATGCTGCTGCTGATGATGCTGCTGCTGCTGCTGCTGATGATGATGATGATGATGCTGATGCTGATGATGATGATGATGATGATGATGATGATGATGATGATGATGATGATGATGATGATGATGATGCTGTTAATGCCTATGCTGATGATGATGAGGAGGACGAGGAGAAGGATGAGGAGGAGGAGGAGGAGGGACAGGATCGATTGTCGAGGACCGTGGAGCATCAATTATACAAATGCTGACCGAAGATCGAGGATCGGGGAGGATCGAGGAGGAGGATGAGGAGGAGGAGGAGGAGGAGGAGGAGGAGGGGGAGGATCGAGGAGGAGGAGGTGGAGCAGGAGTGGAGGAGGAGGAGGATGAGGAGGAGACGGGGAGGATCGAGGAGGATCGAGAGGATCGAGGAGGAGGAGGGAGGAGAGGAGGAGGAGGAGGAGGAGGAGGAAGTTGAGGAGGAGGAGGAGGATCGAGGAGGAGGAGGAGGTGGAGGAGGTGGAGGAGGAGAAGGATAGGGAGGAGGACGAGGATGCGGGGGAGGAGGAGGACGAGGAGGAGGAGGAAGAGGATGAGGAGGTGGGGGAGAAGGAGGAGGAGGAGAAAGAGGAGGAGGAAGATGACGAGGGGGAGGAGGAGGGAGAGGATCGATTATCAACGACCGCGGGGGATCAAGGAGAATTGCGCTGACCGAATATTGAGGATCTAGGAGGATCGAGGAGGAGGATGAGGATCGAAGAGACGGATCGAGGATCGGCGGGAATAG